ACATAGCGAAACAGACTAGCAGAGCAGACCATCATATACTATACTGAACTTAGCGGTCAGCACTCACGGAATATGGCATTCTAAAACATAACGTGACAGAACGTATCATGCCATAACATAGTGCAACACAACATGTCATATCATAACATGTCATGGCATATGGTGACAGAGGTGAGCATAACAAAACACACTCAATCAAAACATAGACATATAAATGAAGAATAACGTAATAATAGGAGACGCATCTACCGTCACAAGCGTAAGGACGTCACGCCTGCCCGTCGAGAACATAACAAAATATAACAGAGCGGAACATGAAAAAACGCGACTTCAAGGAACTCGGTTGAATCGTTTTTGAATCCAGAAACGGCAATTGTCGACCAGTTAAGCGACGCGCGCCGTCGGGAACAATCGCTTAAGGTATCGGTGGGGATCGCTCGAGGCAAAATAACTGCCCCATGTGTGCTTTTCAATCTGGTTGTTTCTGGTTCTTCCAAAACGGTGCTCCCGCTGCAATGTCATCCTCAATTCCGCGCTTCGGTCATTCAAAGCCGTGTTCCCGCTGCAGCCCTGGCCTCGTTACCGCGCCTCCAGATGGCACTTGACATTCGAAAGCGCCCACATCGGGCAAGCACGGTGGCGGAGGACATGGAGCCGGCATTCCGGACAGGCCCTGTCCTCTCGTAGACGGGCCACTTACCCTCCAAATCATCTGGTGCCATGACACGGCATGCAATGCGATGCTGTGTTGTGCACCGCTGTGCGATGCCGCGCTTTGCGTTGCTATGCTTTGTGACGCACTGCTTCACTACGCAATGCCACGCCATGCTATGACATGCTATGCTCTACCGTGCTCTTCTACGCCATGCATGTCCATCCATCGCGTACCATCCTGGGATCATTGCTCTGCCCGACATCATACTGTGCGAATAGATAGGAGATCTACGCCATGGTAAGGGATGGCAGGGAGGGGTAAGACGTCAGACGTGACGCTAGCACGCCTAGCTTGTCCCCCCCCCCTCCCCTGCCCCCCCCCCAATCCCAAGGCAGCCCGGAGAGGCTCCAAGACAGCTTCCGGAGAGGCCAGACGGCGCAAGAGCGCCCCCCAAGAGGCCCTCAAGAGGCCCCAAGAGGTCCCAAAGCAACCCCAAATAGGCCCCAAGATGCCCACAAGAGGCCTCCAAGAGGCCGCAAAGAGGCCCCCACCAGGCCACGCAATGACTGGACTGCACGTGCTCTGGACGTGCACCTCGCTAAGCGAGAGGAATCCACGTCCGGAGGTGGCGTGCTGAGCGGCAGCGTTTTTCGGCGAACGCCTTAATGCAACGTGCCCAATGTATCCAATGATGGCATGCTTGCTACATATTGTGTTGCTTGGCATCAAAGTATGTAGCCTCCCCTACCCCCCACCCCCGAGGCCACGCCACATCCACCATACCAGTGGCCCCCTTCTAGGCCTGAAAACCTACAAATATGACACATTGATCACGCTACCGAGGAACCCCACATACTTATATTATGGCTGGAGCGATGATGGCTGAAGTGAAGCATGTGAGAATGATGTTGGTGGCCGCTGCCCCGCGGACACCGTTGCACCCTGGACGACCGTCACCGCACCGCCTTATGGTGTCGAGGATATGCCATGCCTGCTGTGCCCTGGACGACCGTCACGGATAGCGGCCGCGGTGAGAGACCACCCCCTGCGCACCCCGTATGGTGTCGAGAATATGCCATGCCTGCTGCGCCATGGACGACCGTCACGGATAGCTGCCGATGTGAGAGACCACCCCCTGCGCACCCCCTATGGTGCCGAGAAAATGCCATGCCTGCTGTGCCATGGACGACCGTCACGGATAGCGGTCGCGGTGAGAGACCACCCCCTGCGCTTTCCCATGGTGCCGAGAATATGCCATGCCTTCTGTGCCATGGACGACTGTCACGGATAGCGGCAGCGGTGAGAGACCACTGCCCATATGGCGTCGAGAATATGCCATGCCTGCTGTGCCCTGGACGACCGTCACGGATAGCGGTCGCGGTGAGAGACCATCAACCTGCGCATCCCCTATGGTGTCGAGAATATGCCATGCCTGCTGTGCCCTGGACGACCGTCACGGATAGCGGCTGCGGTGAGAGACCACCCCCTGCGCATCTCCTATGGTGTCGAGTATATGCCATGCCTGCTGTGCCACGGACGACTGTCACGGATAGCGGCAGCGGTGAGAGACCACCGCCTGCGCACCTCCTATGGTGTCGAGTATATGCCATGCCTGCTGTGCCACGGACGACCGTCACGGATAGCAGACGCGGTGAGAGACCACCCCCTGCGCACCCCCTTATGGTGTCGAGAATATACCATGCCGGCTGTGCCATGGACGACCGTCACGGATAGCGGCCGCGGTGAGAGACCACCCCCTGCGCACCCGCTACGGCGTCGAGAATATGCCATGCCTGCTGTGCCCTGGACGACCGTCACGGATAGCGGCCGCGTCGAGAGACCACCCCAAGCGCACCCCCTTATGGTTGTCGAGAATATGTCATGCTTCTTGTGCCCTGGTCAACCGCCACGGATACCGAGCGCGGTGAGAGACCACCCCCTGCGCACCCCCTATGGTGTCGAGGAAATGCCATGCCTGCTGTGCCATGGACGACCGTCACGGATAGCGGCTGCGGTGAGAAACCACCCCCTGTGCACCCGCTACGGTGGCGAGAATATGCCATGCGTGCTGTGCCCTGGAGCACCGTCACGGATAGCGGCTGCGGTGAGAGACCACCCCCTGCGCACCCGCTACGGTGGCGAGAATATGCCATGCGTGCTGTGCCCTGGAGCACCGTCACGGATAGCGGCCGCGGTGAGAGACCACCACCTGCGCACCCCCTTATGGTGTCGAGAATATGCCATGCCTGCTGAGCCATGGACGACCGTCACGGATAGCGGCAGCGGTGAGAGACCACCCCCTGCGCACCCCCCATGGTGTGGAGAAAATGCCATGCCGGCTGCACCATGGACGACCGTCACGGATAGCGTTCGCGGTGAGAGACCACCCCCTGCGCTTTCCCATGGTGCCGAGAATATGCCATGCCTTCTGTGCCATGGACGACTGTCACGGATAGCAGACGCGGTGAGAGACCACTGCCCATATGGCGTCGAGAATATGCCATGCCTGCTGTGCCCTGGACGACCGTCACGGATAGCGGTCGCGGTGAGAGACCATCAACCTGCGCACCCCCTATGGTGTCGAGAATATGCCATGCCTGCTGTGCCCTGGACGACCGTCACGGATAGCGGCTGCGGTGCGAGACCACCCCTTGCGCACCCGCTACGGCGTCGAGAATATGCCACGCCTGCTGTGCTATGGACGACCGTCACGGATAGCAGACGCGGTAAGAGACCACCCCCTGCGCACCCCCTTATGGTGTCGAGAATATACCATGCCGGCTGTGCCATGGACGACCGTCACGGATAGCGGTTGCGGCGAGAAACCACCCCCTGCGCACCCCCTTTGTGGTGTCGAGAATATGCCATGCTTGCTGTGCCATGGACGTCCGTCACGGATAGCGGCCGCGGTGAAAGACCACCCCTTGCGCACCCGCTATGGTGTCGAGACTATGCCACGCCTGCCACGCTTTGCGAGCCCGCAAGGGAGGTGAGTGAGCTTCGCGGGTGAGCTGTGCTGTGCTGAGCTCAGCTGTGCTGGACAGTGTTGTGCTGTGCTGTGCTGTGTACGTGCTGTGTGTCAATGTGCTGTGTGCTGTGCTGTGCTGAGCTGTGCTGTGCTGTGCTGTGATGCGCTGCGCTGTGCTGCGCTGTGCTGTGTGAGAAAGAGAAGGAGGGGGAGGTGTGTGTGTGTGTGTGCACGGGAGGCGCAGGTGCGGCGCGGCAGGGATGAAAACCAGAACTGTGCTGTGCTGTGCTGTGCTGAGCTGTGCTGTGTGAGAAGGAGGAGGAGGAGGAGGAGGAGGAGGAGGAGGAGGAGGAGGAGGAGGAGGAGGAGGGGTGAGGAGAGACGCGGGTGCGACCGACGCGGGAAGGAAGAAAACCAAAATCCCACTAAGCATGTGGGGGGTACTTTGGGCCCAAAGGCCTGGCTCAAGATGGCCTCAGTACGGACCAAGATGACCCCAAGACAATCCAAGATCGCCCCAAGAGGGGCCTAAATGCCCCCAAGACGGCCCAAGAGGGCCCCGAGAGCGCCTCCAGATGCCAACATCATGAATTCCCCATCGGTTTTTGGAAGACTTTAGCGTTCTCGCCTTTCGCGATTCTCAGAGGCCACTGACTGCCCAAGCAGCTTCCAAAATGGCCCCCAGACTGCCCAAGACGCCCCCAAGAGAACCCCAAGACGGCCCAAGAGGGCCCCCAAGACGGCCCAAAGAGGCCTCCAAGATGGCCCCGGAAGGACCCCAAGAGAGCCCCAAGGCGGCCGCGAGAGGCCCACATGACGGCCTCCGAAGGGGCCAAGCGGCGCAAGAGCGCCCCAAGACGGCGCAAGAGGCCCCCAAGAGGCCCCCCAGAGGCCCCCCCAAAAGCGCGCCAAAGAAACCCCCAAGAAGGCCTCCAAGGGGCCTGTCGAAGCCCGAGCGGTAGTGAGGGGGTCCTCCGGACCCTCTGGAAAGAGTGAGGGCTAGCTTGTTCTCCTCTCGCGGGTGCCCCACCGCGAGTCTCCAAGCTAGCTAGTGCCCAAACGGCAGCGGAGTGAGGCAATACGCACTGAATCAACACTCCCACAACTTAAAAGTTGCCTCAACTCCGACTTTGGGCTCAGCTTTGACTGAAACCCTCTTCACATCACACAGACCATTGTCCAGAGCACGGCGCACGGGAGGCGAAAGGCCACTCAGATGTCGATCACCTAGTGGAGCCTGTCCTCTGAGGCTGACGCCTTCGACGTGGGAGCTCCCACTCGGCTCGAACCCGCCGCTCTCGACGAAGCGGGCATCCAGCTCCCCATGGACATAGCATCACCGGCAACAGAGCTCTCCTCCACAGCCACGATCGGAGCCTGGTCAAACACACCTGTCTGCTTCCATGACTTCGGACCATCTTCGTTCAACATCTCTGGCTGCAGACCACACTCCTCAACTAAGAATATGAGGATCTTGTCGCGCCAGAGGGGAAACTCTGCCATGCGCTCGCACACTGACACCCCGACGTCGCCGATCCAGCTGTGGAACTCCGACTCCCTGGGCAGACGTAGTGTCCGAGATGGCCGGCAGCTGTGTTGCGTCCCGCCAGCTCCTGTGCTGGTAGGGCCGTCCTGGCTCTCCGAGTAGCCCGCCGAGAACTCGTCCCAGGCCGGGAGGCGGAAGGAGTTCACCACGATCGATCCTCCAGGCGGGGCCGGCGGCACCTGGTCGTTCTTCAGCGCCGTGTGGTAGAGGCCCTCGAGCACCTTCAGGCGGTCGCGCATGCCGTCCTCGAGCGCCGCCGGCGAGTGTAACGTGATGTACCCCGTGCTGGCGTGGCGCACCAGCGTGATCTGCGAGGCGCTCTGTTTGCCCGACAGGCGGTCGTCCAGGATCCCCGCGCGGATCTGCACCTTGACCTTGTTGCTGGAGCCCTCGATGTTGCCCTCGCCAGCCTCCGCCAGACCCTCCAAGAAACTCCTCGCGCCACTCGCCGAGTTCTTCGCCTCGATCTTCACCATCTGCTCGCAAGCTCTTCGCGGGCGGCGGGGCCGCGAACTGCTTCCGCAAGGCACGCCCCGCCGATGCTTGAGCCAAGACGCTGCTCTCATCGGCGAGCTGGTAGGTCCCGTGGCGGACGCAGCTTCGGAGGATATCGGCGGGCTCCGCCTTATCCTTCGTGAGACAATCCGCCAGCATCAGAGACGTGGGGCCCCAACGCAGCGCGGGCCCAAGACGTGCCAGACTCTCCTTACTTATGGCAATATCTACTGCACACCTCTTATCGTCGATCCCAGACGGGCTTCCCGTCTTGCACGCGTTGTCATAGATACTCTTGCAGTCGATGACCGCCAGACTCTTAAACTTACTCAGATACCTGGCCCCATCTCCAAGAGTGAAGCCTCGAAAGAACCCCATGGCGAAGAAGCGCATGACCCACTCCAAATGTCCGAGACCGTCGGTCATCGCAGACGACTCCCCCGCCAACGTAGACTTGACCACCCGCTTCACCCGATAACTCCTCCAGATCAAAGGGCCCCACGGGGAAACCCTGCCTAGCTCCATGTCCCTGTTAGTCACCCCTATGATGTAGCCCCCCTGCGTGTGGCCCATGTTGGACATTTCTTTCGACGAGTAGTCTGAGTGGAGGATGAAGGTAAGCTCGGCGATCGGGATCGAAGGGCATCGGATCTCGAGGTCTGCAAACTGCTGAGCACGACGAGCCAACATATTTGCTTTCCTGATATCACCGACGGTGGGGTGGGGCATCTTCTGTTGGTTCGAGCTCACGAAGATGCTGAGGTCTGGCCGGGTCTGGGTCGCCAGCCAGTTCCCCCGCTGGTTGAGGGAGATGAAATCTTTTATTTCTGACGGGACCGCCAGAGCGTCAGCACTTGCATGTCGGCGTGTCGACACCCGCTCCATCTCCTCAGACGCGTGCTGATGCTGCGTCTGCACGATGGTGTAGTCGGGAAGCTGCCGCAGCCGGGACCCGACGAATTCGGCGTCTTCTCGCGCCACTTGCGGTAGGGAAAGCGGCTCCTCAGCTGCGACAAAGCCTCGGCCCACTTGGATCCCCGGCCGCCGAACACGCCGTCATCCACGCGCTGGCCGATGACCCCGCACAGGTCGCCAGGCCGGGCCACTCGAAGGGGGTCTGCTCCCTGGCCGTCGATGACACGGTAGTCGTCGAGGTCGAACTCCACGGAGTCGCCGACATCCTCGAACAGCAACAGCACGCACGGGTCCATGGGATGCTTCACGAAACCCAGCTCCTCGACCAGGAACTTGCTGAAGGTCAGCCACCACAGCTGAGGCTGATCGCTCCTGCCGTAGCCGTTGATGACCTCGCAGAGCTGATCCCCGTGCATCCCGTCCGGCAAGAACTCCGACGGTAGCGAAACGTAGATCGTGCCGTGCTCTGCCGGCGCCAGCGACGCGTCCGTCTCGAGGAAGGCCCACTCCGCGTCCCCGATGGCCAGGGGAAACTTGGCGGAGGCGATGGTCTGGAGGACGAACGCCCTCCCGTTTGAGGACAGCGTCGGGGCCTGAGTGCGGCCCGCCTTCACCAACTCCGGGAGATCTGGGTCCTTGAACCCCTGGATGGTCATCCTACACTTAACTGCAACGTTGCCCTCCTCGTCCTCCTTCTCCGTCAGGACCGGTCGGGGCTTCATGATGATCAGGCTGGGTAGACCGCACTCTCCTCGACTCCTCAAGCGGAAGGGGACGCCAAGACTGGGTCTTCTCCATCAGCTTGCTGTACTCCTTGGCGCAGCCCTGTGCGATCTTGGCCAGCCCGTCCTTCGAGCACCAGCGCGGTTCCCGCCTGTCAAGCTCTCGCCTGCCTCTGGCCAGCAGGACCTCCTCTATGTCCACCGCCGAGATCTCGTCGTCGTCATCGCTGTCGGGCGAGGCCGTATAACTTCCAGAACTGACTGCACACGCTGCTGCTTGGGTCGTCCAGGCCGGCGAGCTGACAGGCTTCGCTTCAGGGCGGTACTCGTCCTCGCAGCCTGGGGGTCCAGGTCCACGCTCCCAGGAGGCATCGGCACCTCGCCCCCGACGCGGGGGCGCTTCGCCTCCTCCACATATGTCTTGCATCGCAGCCGCTTCCGAACCTCCGCCGGCTCAGAGTCGACAGGAGCTCCAGACCCAGCACAGCCTTGATCGCCCTCCGTCTCCTCGTCAGGCCAGTACCCCGGCGCATCCTCTGGGACCGGAATCTCCGCAGAGTCGGCAGCAGGCGGCTCGGCTTCGGCAGGTGGTGAGGCCTCGGGCCGTGGTGGGGCCTCTGGCGGTGCCGGCCGCGCGTCGCCTCCTGCTGTCTCTGGGGCGGACTCCTCCTCATCGGCGGCCTCCGGCGGCCGCGCGTCCGCGGTGATGTCCGAGTAGAACTTCGCCTTCATGTCGTCCAGGTTGTGAGTCCGTAGCGACGACTCCACTAGGCGCCGCGCTGCCCTCTCCTCCGAGTTGGCCGGGCGCATCTGCTCTGAAGAGACCTTCAGCACACTGCCTGGCACGGCAATCGAATAGTTGCCGCGGACCGCGCCCACGCACGCGCCAGGCCTCCAGCGATAGTGGGCGCGTCGCCCAGCCACCTTCTTCGCATTGCGCCAGACCGCCACCATGTCGCCAGGCTGGCACTTCACAAGCTTACGGGGCCGCGCGTCCAGGGCCGGGCGGGTCGCCTGCTTGTCGTTGTAGCTCAGAACCTGTCGCCTGGCCACCGCTCGGACTCGAGCAGCAAACGCCGCCGGCGGGTCGTGCAGGACTGCGCTGTTCGCCACGATGTCCGGCGAGTCCACCAGCAGGTCCTCTGGCACCTCCGGGTTCCACCCGAAGACGATCTGGGCCGGGCTGATCCCGCCGACGCTCAGGAGAGAGTTCTTGGCCTCCTGCACCTGCGCCACGCACTCGCGCCACTCCCCGCGGTCCTGAGGCTGGACCTCGGCGATCACGGCGCGCAGCATCTGGGCGAACCACTGCCCATGCCGCCCCACCTCCCCGTTCTGCTCCTTGGCGCTGCCGGCCGTGTCCAGGATCGCAGTCCCGCCCCGCTCCATCGCACTCGCGAAGACCTTGGACGCGTGGGGCTTCGCCGGGTCAAGGCGGATCCACTTCGGGCGCAGGTAGGGCCGAGTCCAATTGCCTCGGCACAGGCGCAGCAGGTCGGCCGCCACCTCGCCATCGCCCTCATCGAACGGAGTCATGGACTGCAGCGACGATGTATCGCACACGATGTTGAGTGCCGTGACGATCTGATCGGGCATCCAGCCCGGGAGCTCCTTCACGTCCATGCCGATGGATCTATGTCCCGGTGCAGCTGGGCGAACCGCCTTCGGGTCAGCCTTGACGTCGCACTCTGGGCAGCGAAACTCCGCGGCCATCTTCAGGGCAGCCTCGGTCGCATTCGCATGGCGTAGATGTCTCATCATGGCGGGCACTGGGGCGTGGCCGAGATTGACGTGTAGACGGCGCAGGCCAGCCTCGATGGTCTGCGGCCGGCCATGGTACAGGTCGCCCCGGGCGAGGCGCTCCTTACCCTCGGTGTCCGCCTCCTCGCCCCCCCCCTGGTCGCCGACCCCCATGGCCTCCGCCTCGTGGGCGGCCGTCTGGCGGGCGTGGCTCTGGTTCTCCATTCTGGCCCGGCAGGCGCCTCTCACCAACGCCTTCGCCAGCCTGTCCGGGTGGATCTGGGACCAGACCGAACACTTCATGCCGCCAGCGCCGTCCATCACGTCCTGGCGCTCGTGACCGCCTCGGCACTGGCGGTCCACCTCCTCGACCACCTCCGGGAGATCCGAGGCGAAGCGCCAGACCTTGGCGAGGGGCACCCCTGACGCCTGGTCCAGCTTGCCAAACCTGCACGCCGCTGCCTCCGCGATGAAGGGGGGCAACTCTGTCAGGAAATGAATCATCTCCTTCGAGCCCCATGCCGAACTCCCTCGGGATTGCTCGCGTGTGAAATGCTTCCCGCGCATCATCTGCCAATCTGCAATCACCAGGCACAAGACAATAAAAGAGACAGCCTCCTGCACCTCTTGCTCAAACCTCTCAGGGCTGTCCTCGGGCGTGAGAGCCTGCAGCGGCGACAGCTTGCCGCAGGGGGGGTAGCGCGAAACGAGGAACGGATCCTTGGTCTCCAGGTCGCAGAAGAGTCGGGGGACGTCCTCGCGCTGGCGAGCATCCCAACCTGTCTGCAAATCGTAGGCTTCGCCATCTTCAAACCCAAACTCCTCGGCCCACTTGGTCAGCCCCGGGGGAGAGAACACCTCCACGATGACGGGTCTCCGCGAACTTGCTTGGCTCACTACGCACATCTCATTTATGGCCTCAGGGCTACGGCCCGGCCCTACTGAAAATCCTCGTTCGCGATGGGGACCGCTGATGAACCGTCGAGCAGCACCTCGTAGTGGCCGCCGCGGGTCGTCTGGAGCAGCACGCGGACGCCCAGCTTCGGGAACGCCAGCTCGTCCTTCTCCATATCCAGCGCGCAGCCCAGCTTCTTCAGGAGGGGCTTGCTCAGAAGGAGGCCCGCCTTGCCCGGGACCACGTACACGTCGACCATCTCGAGGTGGTTGCCGAGCCTCCACGGGATCTGGCAGACGCCGATGGAGTGCTGCTCATCACCGCTGAACCCCGTGAACGTGACCACTTTGTGGTCCTCGTCAATCTCGATGTCGTTACCGGACGTCTTGATCAGCTCGCTCAGCGTGTCCAAGCCAATCAGGGCCCTCGCGCAACCTGGGTCGATCACCCCGGCGCCCGGTGAGTGCACCATGAACGTCTCCGCCTCGTCGTCGTCGTCGTCGTCGGCGTTCCCGGCGTCGTAGTCGGCGATCTCGTCCACCTCCTTATGCGCCGATGCGTGAAGTGGTCCTCGGTCAGCTGCTCTCTGAGGCTCCTGTCGTCCCAGGTCGCAAGGATCTCCTCGATCTCGATCCAGGGGTCGGCCTCTTTTCCTCCAGCGAAGAAGCTCTCGACGAAGCCAACACCCCGAACTTCTGGCCGAAGCGACCCTTGCCGCCACCCCTGCCAGCTTGTTTCGGGCACTCCTTGCTGAAGTGACCCACCTGCTTACATGCCCAGCAGCGGACCCGAGCGGAGAACTTCTTCAGATCCGGCGCCTGCGGAGGTGGCAGGCCGCGCCTCTTCCGCTCCTCGGCGACCGCCACTCGGGTCTCCTTCCACGTCGCCCAGCACCTGGATGGCCTCATCCTCCTCCATGGGTTCCTCACGATCTTGCTCGACCTCCGCCAGGAACGCATCCACCTCCTCCTGGGAGCTAGCCGCGGGATGATGCTCTCCACCCGCAGCCTCCCACACGTAATCGTCCTCCACCCGGTGCACGCCGTGCTCGGGCAGCACCTTCGGGTAGACCGTCTTCAGTGCCAGGGCCAGCTTCTCGAACGTCCACTGCCTCTCGCTGGCCGCGAGGACGACGGCGCGCCGGTCGCCTCCGAGGCGGGCGCCCCGAAGAAGGAGAAATCCTTGAGCGACATCAGGGATTTCCACGCCTTCCTTCTTGGCCTTCATGAGTATCGTCTGGGCCCGGCCCACGTACGCGCTGGTGAGCTCCGCCTTCTCGATCTTCAGACCGAACACGGACTCCAGCGCGTCTCCCACTCGGTCGGCCGCCTCTCGCTCTGGGTACCGTGCGTCTAGGACGGCGAACAGCTTCTCTTCACCGCCGTCGACTGCCAACTCGTCCAGCTCCACATGCTCCAGAGCGTCCACGGCCGTTCCCTCCAAGAGGGTGTACAACATGGGGCCGAAGGTCTCAGACTTGCCTCCGCGCCCCTTCTCCACCAGCAATCTTGCTCGTGCCCATTTCTTCCAAGCCTTGTAATCCTGGACAGCAGCTGCTCCTTCTCCGGAGAATCGTCTGTCACGAATGCTGCTCCCTCCAGCGCTGCCTCCGTCCGCCATGGCTGTACTCAGGGCTGGTGGCTCAAGCTAGTGTCGAAGCCCGAGCGGTAGTGAGGGGGTCCTCCGGACCCTCTGGAAAGAGTGAGGGCTAGCTTGTTCTCCTCTCGTGGGTGCCCCACCGCGGGTCTCCAAGCTAGCTAGTGCCCAAACGGAAGCGGAGTGAGGCAATACGCACTGAATCAACAGGGCCCCAAAGAGGCCCCCACCAGGCCCCGCAACGACTGGACTGCACGTGCTCCGGACGTGCACCTCGTCAAGCGCGAGGAGTATCCACGTCCGCAGGTGACGTGCTGAGCGGCCGCGATTTTCGGCGAACGCCTTAATGTAGCGTGTCCAATGTCTTCGATGACTGAGTAACTGCTACAGTCAAGACCTACAATGGTTTGGGCCGCTTGGGCCTCCTGGGGGTCTAAGAAGGCGTCAAGACTGCTCAAGATGGCCTCAGTAGTGGCCAAGACGGCCCCAAGACAGTCCAAGATGGCCCTAAGAGGGCCCCAAAAGCACCCAAGACGGCCCAAGAGGGCCCAGGGCCCCAAGAGGGCCTCCAAGAGCGCCTCCAGAAGCCAAAATCATAGATTGTCATCCGGTTTTTGATTCGATTCTGAGGCCCATGACAGCCCAAGCAGCCTCCAAAATGGCCCCAAGACGGCCCAAAACGGCACTCAAGACGGCCCAAAAGGGCCATCCAAGACGGCCTAAGAAGGACCCCAAGAGAGCCCCAAGGCGGCCGCGAGAGGCCCACATGACAGCCTCCGTAGGGGCCAAGCGGCGCAAGAGCGCCCCAAGACGGCCCCCAAGAAGCGCCCTAAAAGCCCCAAAGAGGCCCCAAGAAGCCCCCAAGAGGCTTCCAAGAGGCCCCAAAGAGGCTCCCACCAGGCCCCGCAACGACTGGACTACACGTGCTCCGGACGTGCACCTCGCTAAGCGAGAGGAATCCACGTCCGGAGGTGCCGTGCTGAGCGGCAGCGATTTTCGGCGAACGCCTTAATGCAACGTGTCCAATGTGTCTACGTACTTGCTACATCTTGTCGTTTTTTACCCCCCTATCCCCCCCCCGCCGAGGCCAAGACACATCCACCATACCAAAGATGGTGCCTATGGTGCCTCCCTTTCTGGGCCTCGAAACCTATAAAGCCAACGGAATATGTATGATTTCGGCCCCTTGGGCCTCTTGAGAACCGCAAGACGGCTCAAGATTGCCTCGAGACGGGCCAGAACGGCCCCAAGACAGCCCAAGATGGCCCCAGGAGGGCTCAAAAAGCTTCTAAGATGGCCCCAGAGGGCCTCAAGGGAGCCCCAAAACATATATTTTCCATCTGTCTTTGAAGGATTTTAGCGTTCTCGCTGTCTTCGACTCTCGGGGGCCCATGACGGCCCAAGCAGCCTCCAAGATGGGCCCAAGACGGCCCGAAAGGCCCCAAGACTGCCCAAGAGGGCCCCTTAGATTGCCCAAAGAGGCCCCAAGGCAGTCCAAGAGGCCCCCAAGACGGCCCAAGAAGACCCCAAGAGAGCTCCAAGGCAGCCCGGGGAGGCCTCCGAAACGGCTTCCTGAGAGGCCATGCGGCGCAAGAGCGCCCCAAGACGGCCCAAGAGGCCCCCAAGAGACCACAAGAAGCTTCACAAAGACCCCCAAGAAGCTCCCAGGGGCCCCCACGAGGACTCCAAGAGGCTCGCAAGAAGCTCCCAGGAGGCCCCACAACGACTGGATTGCACGTGCTGCGGACGTGCACCCCGCGAAGCGAGAGGAATCGTCGTGGTAATGCTCGTGGCAGTCATAGACACGGCCCCTACAACCGTTGTCGCAGTGGTTCCCGTTAGTGTAGTTGTGGTGCTGACGGTGCTGCTGGTGACCTGGTACTTGACGTAGGTGCATGCGTCGCTGTCCAGGTCTTCGAAGTTCGCCACAACCTCACTCACTGCGCTGAAGCAATAACGCACACCTGTGTTGGTACAATCCTTGTCGTGCAACACGGAACAATTGGCGTCGGCACTGCACGCCGCTTCGGCCGAAGCTCTCGAACCAGCCACACTGTAGCAGAGCCCTGACCAAGCGGCACCAGCAACACGTGGCCCATCGATGTACAACACTTCAGTGGATACAGTCGTCCTCGTCGTGGTAATACTTGTAGCAGTCATAGACACGGCCCCTACAATCGTTGTGGCAGTGGTTCTCGTTAGTGTAGTTGTGGTGCTGACGGTGCTGGTGGTGACCTGGTACTTGACGTAGGTGCATGCGTCGCTGTCCAGGCCTTCAAAGTTCGCCACAATCTCACTTACTGCGCTGTAGCAATAACGCACGCCTGTGTTGGTACAATCCTTGTCGTGCAAAGCAACACAATTTGAGTCGGCACTGCACGCCGCTTCGGCCGAAGCCCTCGAACCAGTAACACTATAGCAGAGCCCCGACCAAGCGGCACCAGCAACACGTGGTCCATCGATGTACAACGCTTCAGTAGATATAGTCGTAATGGTCGTGGTAATACTTGTAGCAGTCATAGACACGGCCCCTACAATCGTTGTGGCAGTTGTTCTCGTTAGTGTAGTTGTGGTGCTGACGGTGCTGCTGGTGACCTGGTACTTGACGTAGGTGCATGCGTCGCTGTCCAGGCCTTCAAAGTTCGCCACAACCTCACTCACTGCGCTGAAGCAATAACGCACACCTGTGTTGGTACAATCCTTGTCGTGCAACACGGAACAATTGGCGTCGGCACTGCACGCCGCTTCGGCCGAAACTCTCGAACCAGCAACACTGTAGCAGAGCCCTGACCAAGCGGCACCAGCAACACGTGGCCCATCGATGTACAACACTTCAGTGGATACAGTCGTCCTCGTCGTGGTAATACTTGTAGCAGTCATAGACACGGCCCCTACAATCGTTGTGGCAGTTGTTCTCGTTAGTGTAGTTGTGGTGCTGACGGTGCTGGTGGTGACCTGGTACTTGACGTAGGTGCATGCGTCGCTGTCCAGGCCTTCGAAGTTCGCCACAATCTCACTTACTGCGCTGTAGCAATAACGCACGCCTGTGTTGGTACAATGCTTGTCGTGCAAAGCAACACAATTTGAGTCGGCACTGCACGCCGCTTCGGCCGAAGCCCTCGAACCAGTAACACTATAGCAGAGCCCCGACCAAGCGGCACCAGCAACACGTGGTCCATCGATGTACAACGCTTCAGTAGATATAGTCGTAATGGTCGTGGTAATACTTGTAGCAGTCATAGACACGGCCCCTACAATCGTTGTGGCAGTGGTTCTCGTTAGTGTAGTTGTGGTGCTGACGGTGCTGGTGGTGACCTGGTACTTGACGTAGGTGCATGCGTCGCTGTCCAGGCCTTCGAAGTTCGCCACAATCTCACTTACTGCACTGTAGCAATAACGCACGCCTGTGTTGGTACAATCCTTGTCGTGCAAAGCAACACAATTTGAGTCGGCATTGCACGCAGCCTCGGCCGAAGCCCTGGAACCAGCAACACTGTAGCAGAGCCCTGACCAAGCGCCACCAGCGACACGTGGACCATCGATGTATAACGCTTCAGTAGATATAGTCGTAATGGTCGTGGTAATACTTGTAGTAGTCATAGACACGGCCCCTACAATCGTTGTGGCAGTTGTTCTCGTTAGTGTAGTTGTGGTGCTGACGGTGCTGGTGGTGACCTGGTACTTGACGTAGGTGCATGCGTCGCTGTCCAACCCTTCGAAGTTCGCCACAATCTCACTTACTGCGCTGTAGCAATAACGCACGCCTGTGTTGGTACAATGCTTGTCGTGCAAAGCAACACAATTTGAGTCGGCATTGCACGCCACTTCGGCCGAAGCCCTCGAACCAGTAGCACTATAGCAGAGCCCCGACCAAGCGGCACCAGCAACACGTGGTCCATCGATGTATAACGCTTCAGTGGATATAGTCGTACTGGTCGTGGTGATACTTGTAGCAGTCATAGACACGGCCCCTACAATCGTTGTGGCAGTTGTTCTCGTTAGTGTAGTTGTGGTGCTGCCGGTGCTGGTGGTGACCTGGTACTTGACGTAGGTGCATGCGTCGCTGTCCAAGCCTTCGAAGTTCGCCACGATCTCACTTACTGCACTGTAGCAATAACGCACGCCTGTGTTGGTACAATCCTTGTCGTGCAAAGCAACACAATTTAAGTCGGCATTGCACGCCGCTTCGGCCGAAGCCCTCGAACCTGTAGTACTGTAGCAGGGGCCTGACCAAGCGGCACCAGCAACGCGCGGCCCATCGATGTACAAAGCACCAGTTGATGTGATAGTCGTTGCGGTAATTCCGATTGTCGTCGCTGCCGTCGTCGATGATTCGGAATTGCTCGTTGCTGTGGTACTACCTGCAGTCACAGAGCCTGTTGTGGCAGTCACAGAGCCTGTCGTGGCAGTCGCGAAGTCTGTTGTGGCAGTCGCAGGACCTGCGCCTGCAGTCGTTGTGGTAGCCGAAGTGCTTCCCGCTGTTGTAGTTGTGGTGCTGACGGTGCTGGTGGTGACCTGGTACTTGACGTAGGTGCATGCGTCGCTGTCCAAGCCTTCGAAGTTCGCCACGATCTCACTTACTGCACTGTAGCAATAACGCACGCCTGTGTTGGTACAATCCTTGTCGTGCAAAGCAACACAATTTGAGTCGGCATTGCACGCCACCTCAGCCGAAGCCCTCGAACCAGCAACACTGTAGCAGAGCCCTGACCAAGCGCTACCAGCGACACGTGGACCATCGATGTATAACGCTTCAGTGGATATAGTCGTACTGGTCGTGGTAATACTTGTGGCAGTCATAGACACGGCTCCTACAACCGTTGTCGCAGTGGTTCCCGTTAGTGTAGTTGCGGTGCTGACGGTACTGGTGGTGACCTGGTACTTGATGTAGGTGCATGCGTCGCTGTCCAACCCTTCGAAGTTCGCCACAATCTCACTTACCGTACTGTAGCAGTACCGCACGCCCGTGTTGGTACAGCCCTTGTCGTGCAAAGCAATACAATTTGAGTCGGCATTGCACGCCGCCTCGGCCGAAGCCCTGGAACCAGTAATGCTGTAGCAGAGCCCTGACCACGCGCCACTAGCAACACGTGGACCATCGATGTATAACGCTTCAGTGGATATAGTCGTACTGGTCGTGGTAATACTTGTGGCAGTCATAGACACGGCTCCTACAACCGTTGTCGCAGTGGTTCCCGTTAGTGTAGTTGCGGTACTGACGGTACTGGTGGTGACCTGGTACTTGATGTAGGTGCATGCGTCGCTGTCCAACCCTTCGAAGTTCGCCACAATCTCACTTACTGTACTGTAGCAGTACCGCACGCCCGTGTTGGTACAGCCCTTGTCGTGCAAAGCAATACAATTTGAGTCGGCATTGCACGCCGCCTCGGCCGAAGCCCTGGAACCAGTAATGCTGTAGCAGAGCCCTGACCACGCGCCACCAGCAACACGTGGGCCATCAATGTACATAGCTGTTGTCGTCGTGGCAGTGCTGGTCTCACTAGCCCAAGTGCTTGAGCCAATAGTGCTTGTGGAAACAGTGCTTGTGGTAATCTGGTATCGGATGTAAGTGCATGCATCACTGTCCAGACTTTCAAAGTTCGCCACAATGTCATTGATGACGCTGAAGCAATAACGCACGCCTGTGTTGGTACAGCCCTTGTCGTGCAAAACGGTGCAATTGGCGTCGGCACTGCACGCCGCTTCGGCCGAAGCTCTCGAGCCAGCAGTGCTGTAGCAGAGCCCATACCAAGCGCCACCAGCAACACGAGGGCCATCGATGTACATAGCTTCGGTCGTCGTGGCTGAAATCGTCGTCGACGTTACCGTAGCGATTCTTACGATCGGCTGGCGATGCTGCTGGCGATCGGCTTGCAATGCTGCGCGGCAGAAGCATGAGGAATGCACAGGGCAATGCTCTAAAGCCCCTACGACTTTGCCAGAATGTCCGTCCCTGCAAGCCTGCCCAGCCGAGCAGTCCGCAGCACTCGCACAGGGAGCTCCCCGAGGCCCTCCGTCATCGCCTGACCCTGGCACGACACCGCCCGCCGATCTGGAAGCCGATGCGTTCGGGCCAGGGCCCGCATCACTCGCGTGTCCCGCGCGCCCGAGGCCCTCCCAGACGCCAACGTCAGCACCCATCACGACGCCGTGCTTCCCGCCCCCCTTCGCCGGCCAGGCCACGGAGGCGCCCCGGCCAGGCCCTGCGCCGCCCCCCCGGCCCGCGCCTCCGAGGCCGCCCCCGGCGTCCGCCTCCTCCTGCCCGCCGGCAGCGCCCCCGACCTCGCGGAGATGGTCAAGAAGGGCTCCCGGGAACCAGAGGAGGAGGAGGAGGAGGAGGAGGAGGAGGAGGAGGAGGAGGAGGAGGAGGAGGAGGAGGAGGAGGAGGAAGGAGGAAGGAGGAAGGAGGAAGGAGGAAGGAGGAAGGAGGAAGGAGGAAGGAGGAAGGAGGAAGGAGGAAGGAGGAAGGAGGAGGAGGAGGAAGGAGGAGGAGGACCGAGGAGGAGGGGTCCTCCGTGGCCCCTTCTTCCCAGGCGCGCCCAGGCGCTCCCAGGGCAACCCTAGGTGGTCGTCGGACAAGATTTCATGCGGGAGTCGCGGGTTTTCCCCCAGGACAAGTTGTATTGGTGAAAACCCCCCTCTATGCCAAAACCTATTCTTGTGGGCGCATAGCTCATGGACCAGCTCCTCGAGCTCGGCCAGATCGACCGGGATTTCCGACCCGGCCTCCAGTTCAGACTTCACACGCTCTTTGATCCAACCCCCGTGTCTCTCGACACGTCCGTTCTGCCAAGGCGAGTTGGCGTCACAGACGTGGTGCATCACGCCCCACTGTTCTCTTCGACCTCGAGCAGAACGATCTTCAAATTCAGATCCTCCATCGGAGAGCAGAAAATGGGGGGCTCCGAACGGTCGAACCCACGTTTGGACAAACGCCCTCCACACACACAGCCTTCGGCTCCTCGACCCTGACACAGACCTGCAAGTTGGATCCGTGGTCCACTACGTTGAGAAATGGGATCGATTTCTCCTGGAAGGGCAGAAAGAACAAATCGACCCCGACTATGTGGTTGAACCGAAACGTCCTCGGCATCGCCACCCGCCTGTGACTGGCGGTGCGCGATCTCTCTGAACATTCGGAACACTCGAACGAGTCTCGGATCCAGCGAAGCAAGTGTATCTTCACGCCTCCCGCGCGCAGGACCCCAATGAACTTTCGATTGTCTGGGTGGCCCATATTGTGGCGCAGCCGAAACAACAAACGCTTCTCTTGATCTGATGGCTCGGGAATCGGTTCACTAACTGGAGCGGGCCTGGTGGGTCGAGTCTCTGGCTCGTCCTCCCCAGTGTCGTCTGGGTCGAGCTCTTCCTCTTCGCCTCCCGACACATCCCCCACCGGAAAGGCGCTCTCATCGAGCTCCGCCCAGGTGACCTTTCTACCTTGACTCGCCCCACTCCAGTGTTCTGTCACCGCACGAGCTACAGCGTCAACGAACCTGGGAGGGTAGACCTGGCCCCGGGAGGTGCGGGACTTTCCCTCTAGGAGAACGTGCTTGTGGGTGCCGTCGCACCAGTGTCCCCCCAGGACCTCTCGCAAACGTGGGTGGTTGGTTAGCACCCCGGTGGGTTTCTTATTGAGCCCTTCCCCCGTAACATTAAGCCCGAAACTGCACATGTCCACTCGAATGCGGTGTACCTCGGGAAGATCTTCGATCGCCGGGACAACCTGAGTGTCCCACGATGTAGCGAACAGGGGGTGCTCGCACGCAAAGAATCGGCCTCGGCGAGCCTGATACCCCGCGATCTTCATACAAAATATGAAGTCTTCGAGGCCCTCTCGAACCAGCTCGGCCCATTTGTCCTGATCCCTGACAGCTTCGCTGATCCGACTGATGGCTGATAAGACCCTACACGGTGGGCAGAGCCAGATAGTTTTCGGGTTGATCTTCCTTGATGCTTTAATATGCTTGTCCAAAGTCTTCTGCGGTCCCGGGCCTTCCTGGAATCCCACCCGGTCTCGAGGTCCCAGCTAACAGTCCTACCCAAGGTGCCTCCTCGCTTTGGACCCTGGGACCGATCCGGGACGGAGAGAAAACCTCGAAGAAAGTGGTCCTTCGTTTGGCCACCTTAGGCCTCGTCTCCCCAGACTTCTCGTACCTGTGCAATCGGGAGGCTGCCATAACTTCAACAGCTAACCTAACTTCGCTTGGGCAAGCGATCTCGTGATCGTCGTTAAACACGTCACCCTGAAACCATTCGGCCCCCTCAAGGTCCAGGTCCTCTGAGGACTGCCGTTCGCGCCCAAACTCTCGCAAATCCTCCGCCCTCCGACGTCGAGGCTGAGCTCCTGTGAGCTCGTCTCTGCGTTCGGCAACGGAGCTCGACTTGGGAGAGGAAATACTGGGACTAGGGCTGGACTGTGCCGCGACTGGAAAAATGGCGGAGGAGGTAAGGGCAGGAGCAGAAAGGGAAGGAGTGAACACGGGAGGAATGCTGTCTGGCGGGGCCTCTTGCGTAAAAGGTGGGCAGCCGCACTGCTCATGACACGCGGTCAAGCTCAACCCTGGCATTCTGCCTCGGCGTGCGGCACGGCTCAACCCTACATGCTGGGCTCCTCGTTCGACAGGACCTCCCAGCCGTCTGGAGCGTCCGGCCCGACCTCCTCGGGAATCGGGCCCAGGCTCCACCACGTCACTCCCGTCGTGGTAGTTGGTGCCGTCGATGCTGTCGTTGTCTCCGTAGGAGTCGTCGTTGTCATGTGGCCTCCCTGAGTCCCGTCGGGTCCACCACTCCCGGAGGCTTCTCCACTCGGCGGAAGGTCTACCCCGCTCGTGTCCAGCCAGGGATCGCCCAGGGTCGCCTGCTGGGCCTGCATCTGGGCGTTGGCAATGTGAACCAGCCCTGTCACGGCCGTCCCGATCTGAACCATCATGTGGCCCAGCTGTCCCACTGCCGTGTCGATGTGCTGCACCGTGACCCCCATGGTGTTGACCGCCTTGCTGATCTCGTCCAGCGTCTCCGCGAAGCCCTCGAAGCTCCCGATCAGCCTGCGTATTTCGATCACCCCTTGGTAGATCTGCTGCAAGCCCCCCTCGACCTGGGACGGGGCCTGCTGGTGGGCCGTCGCCACTTCCACCATGCGATCCAGCACCTCCTGCAACTTCCCGAGAGCCCTCGCGCTCTCCGGCACCGACTGAAGCTGCCACTGTAGGCCTTGAAGAAGAGTCCCCAGGCTGTTGACTGTGGTGAGCGCTGCTCCACCTGCCTGAAACTGAGGGCTCTCTTGCGTCATCTCCACCGCTTTCTGGGCCGACGCTGCCGCTGATCTGGCTGCCTCGGCGCTGTCTGCGGAGGCGGTCCAGCTGGAGCCCCTGCACCCCGAGGAATCCACGCGATGCTTTCTCCGCAGTGCGTGCAGCGCGAGCCCGACCCGTGCTGATTGCCATAGTATTTGATTGCCGTTCGAGGGTGGTCGCACAGTGGAGCTGGCTTGGGCGGAGGCTTCGCCGGAACTGCGGCGGTTGCCGCTCTGGGCACCTGAGTAGGAGGCGGCTTGGCAGCCGCAAGACCAGCCAGTGTAGTCGATAGTCCCGCTGAAGCCGCAGCTGCGGTCTGCTGCTGCTGCTGGGCTGTCATTGCCTGCTGGCTGGGTGGCGGCTTCGCCGGAACCTGAGATAGATGCTGTTGCTGCTGGACCTGCTCTCCCGCCACTGGAGGCACGACCGGCAGACTGCCGATCGAGGGGATTGGGGCCCACTGGGTTGCGGCCGCCGCTGCTGCCCGCAGCGCTGGTTGAGCTGCATAAGCGGCGGGTGCCCCTGCTTCTCCCAGAGGCTGCTGGAGCGCAGGCATGGCCTCGTCGGCGGCTGCCGGGATCGGCGGCGCCTGCTGGTCCCCGCCGCCTGCCCCCGGCTGCTCCTCGAGCTCACCTCCGAGTCGCTCACCTCGGCGGCCCTCCTCGCCAAGAACTCCTCCGTCGCCTGCCTCGCTCCGGGCGACTTCTTCTTGCCTGCTGCCGCTAGCTTGAGTGTCAGAAACATGAACGCCAGCCTGCACGCCATCGCACTTCTCGGAGTGATCGTCGGTGGGCAAACTGAGACAGTAGGGGTCGATCTCTCGAGCCAAAACGTGCTGCGTACAGACAGGTAAGGTCGCCTCTGGAGGCACCTCGTATGATCTCTGAGCTTCTTTCCCCACGGACGTTGATGGCCCCGAGCGTCTCCTTAGCATTTCCGCCGGATCCTAAGCCCCAGGCCCGCGTCGAGGCCGCTACCTGAGCTAGCCGCCCGCAGATCTCCCTCGACCAGGTCTGGATGAGGCTCCTGAGGACCCACATCTTGTCTGTGGAGTCCTGGATGGTGCCCTTGAGGACCTGCTTCTCCCCTGCGAGGTCCTTCTCCTTACCTATGAATTCCTGGCGGGTGCTCTCAAGGCCCAGCTGCTTGCCCCCTGGGTTCTTCTTGAAATTGTTGAGGCCATTGAGCCTAGTGACCGGGGCTCTCGATTGCTTCCTATTCCTGAGAAGAAGCCGAATTAAGAGAAAGAGAACAATGCTGATGTACTGGATCACAGTTCCATCTGGGGTCATCTCTTGGACCCGTCCGCCTTCAAATCGAAAGGATGCTGCATTCAAGAACGAATACTTGCTCAGTGCACCTGCCGGGGTCCTGCCTTTGCCCGCGCCTGGGCCTACTATGTCTACCATCCTGTGTCCGAGCTTCGTCATGCGAATGTCCTCTTCGAGGACTCCGGGCCTCAGGAGATTGGCTGGTGGATCTACCACACACTCTAAGAAATCTAGAAGATTGACCGAGAGAATGCGCGGCACGCCCTCGCCCAGGACAGTCGTCTCGACGATTCCTAGCACGCCCCCCAGGCAGGGAGGAAACAAAACTGTAGCTATGACCTTTGCAGGACCGCCTACTCCATGAGCACTGCGCAAAGGCCGCGCTGACTCGGGCACCGTCGCGTACCGGAGCCCGTGCTCGGCAAGCTCCTGTGCCTCCTTGTTGAGTGAGGCCCTGCCGACGATGTCACTGCCCGCGCCGGGGTCCACGAGGCCCTGGTTCGAGGCTGTGGCGAGGAGCGCGGCCCCGATCTCCTCCTGGATCTTCTTCAGCGTCTCCAGTTGCCCGTGCAACACCACCGGCAAACAGGGGCCGGGCGACGTGCATCCCGTGAACGTGTATCCTGCTAGGTTCTTCTTTCTCTTGTCGTCGGTCCTCCTGCTCGCGTCCGCCGGAGGGTTGGGGCACTCTCTGGACCAGTGCCCCTTCTGGAGG